GCATAGCTAATGGACTCAAAGTGTTTGTCTTTACCCACCAATTCATGGCTGAGTTTAGCGAATATAGCTTTGAGATCAATGGCATCCTTCCCCTCGCATATGACCTGTCGTTTTCCGTCTACTATTTCACAGAGACATGGCTTTAGTAGGGCTGACACGTCGGGACACTCTTCGACACAGAGATATCCATTGAACAGTATAACAAATACTGAGAGAAATACTAATTATTTAAAAAATAAATAAAACTTAATAAATATTTTATATATTGCTAGCTTAAAAGTCTATACTTACGTGAATACTGCATACTTTCGGTATTGAAACTATTATTTGAACAGTTGTTTGTCACTGAATGTTGTTTGATCATTTAACTCTTTAAACAATTAGTTTATATACATTTTTGCAATTTATGAATTTCACAATAAATACAACACATGCACTCATAAGTGTTTAATCACTATTTTACATGATAATAAAAGTAACAGTTACAGATTACATACAAGCAATGATTTTCATTCATTTATGTGTAAAAGTCATAAAATAATTTCTAGGAAATATTACATTAATCAATTAATCCATCTATTATATCACTATCGAACATCATCAGGGTACATATCATCAGGGTACATTAATATTACAATTTTATATAGTAACAGAGATATTTGTTTTTATTGCCAACTTATATTAATGACATGCTATGTGTATAAAATATATTAGAAAATAAATAAACATATACAAAAGGGTGACTTGAACTCTGCTTACAATATGACTGTATAGCATTGAAAGCAATATTAACTTTGTTTTTATTTTATATTACTCATAGAGTTCATGTCACCTTTTCGTATATTCCTTTTACATATTCGTAATGATTATTTGAAGATTTTGCATTATTATAAAGTTGCACATTTTAATACACAACACTTATTCTAAATTAATAAATCACATTTAGTTGATAAATATAAAAATATTTAATATTTTCTTTACTAAATATCATCCATCGAATTCTAATAAATAAATTAATATAAATATCTCGTGTAAAAACGTGTTGTACCATTATTATAAAAACCAACCATTCATTACATTGTATTAATTTCACGAATATTTTAATTTACAATAGTCGGCATCATAATTTACAAAAACAATATACCACATTTAAAACAATATTGTAGAGTTTAACAACATTTATATTTATTTTTGAAGTTCAT